CTCTTGAGGCATCAGCATACCAAGACATTTTGGACAATTTCATGCTCCCAACTTTGTGGGAACAGTTTGGGGATGGTCCCTTCCTGTTCCAACATGAGTGTGCACCAGTGCACAAAGCAAGGTCCATAAAGACATGGATGAGAGAGTTTGGGGTGGAGGAACTTGACTAGCCTGCACAGAGTCCTGACCTCAACCCGATAGAACACCTTTGGGATGAATTAGAGCGGAGACTGCGAGCCAGCCTTCTCGTCAAACATCAGTACCTGACCTCACAAATGCACTTCTGGAAGAATGGTCAAACATTCCATAGCCACACTCCTAAACCTTGTGGACAGCCTTCCTTCTGAGAAGAGTTGAAGCTGTTATAGCGGCAAAGGGTGGGCCAACTCAATATTGAACCCTACGGACTAAGACTGGGATGCCATTAAAGTTCATGTGCGTGTAAAGGCAGGCGTCCCAATACTTTTGGCAATATAGTGTATGTGTAATATCAGCTCACTTCTATATTTGAATGTATAAATACATGGGCTATATATTTAACAAAGGGTTTTATAGTGCTGTATACCTTACCGTAAATCCACTTTGGGAAATTTGTATTCTCAAATGCTTATATCGTCATTAAAATGACCAGTGCATAAGTTATCTGTGCGTTTTGTACTGTCTCTTTTTTGCTGACGCTCCCCATTTAGCACAATGCTAAAAAATGTGTTGATTGGCATTTATTTTTCATGGTCTACATGATTGGGGTGTCTGGGAAAGGAGAGTTTTTTGCCTAAATGTTTTTCAGATAAAAAGGTTTATGATTTTATAAAGATGAAAGGTATGGGTAACACCATTGTCAGAAAACATGTGAAAAAGTTTACTTTACTTGTACTTGTGTGTGGTTTACCCCTCTTCGGGATGTCATTGCAGAGTAGGTAAAAGCCCGGAAAGTACCACTCATCTGGTGCAACTGGAGTTTTGTTAAAGCATCTGTTTGGAAGTTTTACCAAACGTCAACATGGTGTAATAGATTGAGTGAGCACAGATGTGACTTTGTCAGGCCTTGGGCTGCAAATTAGCCATTCTCCCTTTCTAAGAAAATTACATCACAGTTTTACTTGTTATATCTGTTGTATTTATCTGTTTTAGTAATTCATTTTAAAACAATATACTGCTTATGAAGGAAACTGAAGTTCTTTTTAAATAGTGAAGGATCTGTCAGTGGGCTCCAAGGATGGATAAAACTGTAAAATATAAAATAGCAATATAAAAATTTTCTCAGAAGGTGTTCTTGACCGTACAGGCAGGCAGTGTAGTAATTACATATTACAGTGGTCTGTCAAGGTGAAACAAGCCCTATTAAAATAACTAGTTTGTTTAAAATGACCATGCTAGCCTTGAATCTGAGGTAGCCTATCAATTTATGGAAATTTATGATGGCAGAAGTAAAAGGAATGACTTAGAAAAACTGTTTGTACTGTACTTTCTTAGTAAGACCTTCTAGGAGGTCTGTGAAAATGCCACAGCTGCAAATGTATGTCAGGAGAAAGCTTGATTAGATTTAAAAAATAACGGGAAAAAGCCATATAATATTATTTATATGCAGCTTATAGTGAGCAAAATCAAGGTCTGTGAACAGCACAACTGATGTGAACAATTTATGTTGTATATTTATGTTATCGCACACATTTTCTTTACTAATTATGCCAGTTTTTATCAAATCTGCTCATGTTAATAAAATAAGACTTGCATACAACCAACTCATTGATGTCCGTATACTAATGTTTAAATCAGCTATATCGATTTTTGGTGCATTAATATAAAAGATGTTTAAGGTCTTACCGTTCATTTTCTTTAGAAAGCATCCACAGGAGTAGAAAAACCTGTCACAATGCTGCCCTTGCTTTCTGTATGGAAGCAGTGGTCTCTCTGCAGAGGCTTAACATGCCCCTTGCATAACCTCCCCAGCATTGGTGGTTAGCATTGGTGGTCATATGCTGCTGTCTCTGCCAGTTGGCTGGGACTATCCTTTTACTGTCAGGTGGAGATCACTGACAGTTCTGGGTTCTTTCAGAGAACATTCCAGCAACCCAACACGCCTCTACCACTCTGCATATCACTCTGCCGCACCAGGGCACCATCAACGTGGTGATACTGGGTATGGGATGGCCCCTAGCCCTGGAACAGGACCATCTTAAATAATTGCCATTTTTTCATAGCATACAGTTTTCACCTGTTTTTCATCCCTCTTTGCATCTCTATGCTAATGGTGTTCTTCAGCCTGTTTTAGCCACTTGCTGTCTACATGCACTAGCTCCAGTTTTGGCTGCACATCATTGTTCTAGACTCGCTCCCAACTATCACAATGATGGGCCATGCATGCTTAATGTGTGTCTGCACAACCGCTGATAGTCTCTTCTGGGGGTTCTGATATTGGGGAGCTCACAGAGCACTCGCACAGCGGGTTTTTCAAAACAGAGTCTTTATTTACTTTCAAAACGGTAGATAATCACAAAATCCAACATAAATAGCTTGCTGTAGCATATGACAGATAAGGGCTCACCAATCCTTGAGTTGTCCCAAACACTCACGGTGTCCCAGTCTTTTAATAAGTCTCTCTTGCAGCACTGCTGCTCCGGCCTCAATCTTCAGGGCCACTGGCTGGTTCCTCCAGACAACCGCAATAACATGCCAATCCTCCCAATATGTTTCACGAACCTGCAGCTCCCTGCTGCACTGGCCTCCACACTGACTCCTGGGTGGAGTTCTCCGGACTCACAGGTGGGGCCCTGAACACATCCCAGCACACTCTTCATGAGGGATGTGCACAGGTGCACAATTAGGTGCCGGTCACTACCAAAGCATGGACCCGGGTCTGGAGATTTCCTCCCACCCAGAGCTCTAAGAAATCTTCTGGCTCCAGGATCCCAACTAGGATCCAGAAAACCTGGAAAGGACTGAAAAGGCAGTTCTCTCCTGGTACACGTACTTTCTTCCTGGAGCCACTCAGCCCCTCTGGCTGAGAACCCTGGGTGACTTTGAGGCCACCTAACACCGTGGTATTGCCATGCAATGCCACAGGGTGTATATGACAGGGTAACAACCAAGAAGTACACCTGGGAGAATCTGTAACCCTATAACATGAGGTTCCTGAACATGGATCTATATAGAATGAGCAGCAGGTTTTCTTTGAATACAAATCACATAACTTTTTAAAAATAATTTTAAAGATTAAAAATAACTTTTAAAACTACATTAACTTGTTACAGCTTACATGAGATTTAGAGATTGGGTTTAGACATACTTATTATAACAGACAACATAACAAATTGGCTCACATTTCCTTTGGTGAATAATTAGCTCCTCATCCTCACATATTCTTCAACCAATAAAGGATTTCTGTTTAGATACATGAAACTATCAACTAATCAAGACAAAATGTTTCCTTACAGAAAGCTTTCAAGGGAAATGCCGTTCTATGCATTAATCAAAAAGTTTTGGTTTATTCCAGCAATTAGTGCAGATGAGGTACATTTAATGAATGGCCAATTAGGGCATCAAAGCCTAATATATCAGTAATGGACAATTCTACTTGGGCTGTGCATCCCTTTACAAATGAGGGTTCAGCAATGAAAGGCAGGGAAAGCCACTTTTGGAGCCAGGAACATTGCTTGTCAACTATTGTGTGTTCTGTAACAGTTTTGTAGATGAATTCTGTGCAAGTCATTCAGACCAATTCAAAGCATTAACTGCAAAGTGCAGCCAATCAGAAACCACTTTACTGAAACCTTATAGAGGACTTTTTTGGGTGTAGGAAGTGCTGGAGTTTACATTTTGCTTCTTGTGCTGTTTTGTCAAATAAGCTGAAATTCTGAGCAATCATATAAGGCTAATGGAACCAGCTCCAAGAATTGAATTATACAATTCTGCTATGTATGAAGTTGAATGAGCGTCACAGGATGTGAAAGTTCAAGTCACTACTTTAGCTCCCGTTCACACCTAGGTATTTTATTGCTCAAAGCGAAGTGCCGCAACACACTCAAGACAAGTGTTTTTCTGTGGGCAGAAAAATGCCTGTCCCTGGAAAAAGTATATGAGCTACTTTATGGCAGATTATAGTGCTTTTTGGTCCTATAGAGTTCAATTGAAAACACTTGGAAATGCACATTACAAGCATTTATACGCCTTTTGTTGTGCAAAGCTACCCATTGAAGTCTATGGGACCAAAAAGCGATGTATTCTGCCAAAAAGTATCTTGTGTACTTTTTACAGGGACAGGCATTTTTCTGCTTGTGACAAAATGCTCAGATGTGAACAGGGGCCATAGAAATGAATGGGATTCCTTGTCTTAAGCATTTGGTTGCACTTAGCTTTGAGCAACAAAACGCCTAGGTGTAAATGGGAATTTAAAGTAGTTTAGAGAACATTTAAATCATTTTTTTTTACAAAGTGTCACCTACTTTCTTCTTCTACCTATTTATTGTTCATAGAAGCTCTTTCATTTATGTAACCGTTCTAATTCATCAACTTTTTAGCATTATTATTATTATACAGGATTTATATAGTGCCAACAGTTTGCTCAGTGCTTTACAATGTAAGGAAGACATTACAATGACAATACAATTGTAGACAAGATGGTAAGGAGGGCCCTGCCCCTGATGGCTTACAGTCTAAAAGAAGGAGGGCCCTGCCAGCATACTTTATATCACGCAATGTGTATGAACACATTCAAAAATGAATTGCTCTTGTAAAGAAAAAAAAATAAAGAACATACATTTTGACATATATGTGCACAGAGTGAATGTTCACAGATATTTGCAGGGTAAACGGCTATGTGAATTCTTTATAAATAGACCCCTTTGTGAGCTGTTTCTAATGATATATGAGCCTTACTACATGTTATAAGGATCCTGTCATATGCATTCACAGCTGATAGCTTCCATGTATAACTAGTAATATATTACGTAAACTGAATGTAATGTACCTGTCTGAAGGGTTAATAACTGTTTGTGTTTCAGCCTGTGCAAGGGAAGAACATTATACTCAGTGGTTCGAGATGTAAAAATTGTTTTAGATGTCAACAAGACCAGACAGATCGCACAAGAAATTGTGAAGGTAAGTGTTGATCTCAGAAACTGGGCACTTAATACCTGAATACAATTAAAATAGATGTAAACTTCAAGTGTATGATAATTGCTAAAAAACTCTGTATAATAATCAATTACTATTTTGTTAAATAGGTGTTTTCACCTTTTTTTTAATCCTTTGTTGCATCTCAGTCCTTCTATTCTCCTGCAGCCTCTTTTCAGCCACTTCTTTCCTACCTGCACTCCAGCAAAATCTGTATGGTATTCCTCAGGGCGTGTGAGCAGAGCTGATAACTACTCAGTGTCTTGCTGCTCTTTTATGTCCAATCAGCTGACAGCGGGTGGGTAGTTTACCTGCTGTAACCCTTAACTCTTACAGAGAAAGCGTTGTTGCCCCCTGGCTGTGCTGTCTGACAGAGGTGTATGAAATACAAAGTGGCTGGACAGAAACAAATGTTTTGGTATATCAGGCTGTTCAGATATGTGTCTTCTAGCTGTATATTTAGCTAAACATTTAGGGGGTTATTCACAAACCGCCGAGGTCAGCTGTGTGAATAACCGACCCAAAGTGAAGTGAGCCGAACGCTGTTCGGCTATTCACTTCAGGCTTGTACGGCTGATTTCAGCTGTACACCGACTGAAATCAGCCGTACATCGGCTTGCTGCGGCTGGGGTCGGGGCGGGCGCAAAAGTCCTTGCTGTGTTGCCCGCCATCAGCGCTGGAGGATCTGACAGGGGAGGGGGGAATCCACTCCCTCCCCTGTCACGGCTCTCTGCAGGGCCAGGATCGAGAAGTGAGCGAGCGCCGGTATGTGCTTGCTCACCTCATAGTTCTCCTTTAAATCAGCCGTACATCGGCTTGCTTCAGGTTGGCCGAACATGCTCTGCATGTTCGGCCGCCCCGAAGTGCAGAAGGAGTTCGACTCAGCTGATCCAACATCTGGATCGGCTGAGCCGAACCTCCGTCAGGCTACACGCTGTTGTTTCAGCCTATTCTCATAGAGGCCGAGCAGCATTCGGCTCGGCTATTCTGCTCGGTACCTCTGTGGTATGAGTGATGCAGAAATAAGAGACAGTATTGTTAATAGTTAAGGTACTTGAATGCATTTTAAAGATTTAACTCTTGAGTTAAGTGTCACATTAAATGCAAAAACAAGGTAATTTGACATATAATCTTATGGGAAGATTGTTGCTGATATTAATATTATGTGAATACAGCATCACTGCACTGAGTGAAAAATAGATTTTGAGTTTTCCATAGACTTTCATAAATCAAACCCAATGGCTTTGGTGATATACTGTATCACTGAAGATAGTCCTTTCTTCTTAGAAATACAGGAAAAATGTGACGGAATCAGTAAGAAATCATGTACATGTGAACAAAATTCCTAACCTAGAGAAAGCACAACAAATTCTTCCATGACAAACAGTTGCTAAAAGATTGTCATATAATATGAGACAGAAATAGCAAAGACAAAAGATTAGAGCTGATTGTATTTAATATGTATCGCCTATCATGTTTTACAGTGAGGGAGGGTGAGAGATAAATGGCATAGTAAGTTAAAATTTTTGATGCATAGCTCATAATTTAGACTGCATTGCAAGAAGGTAATTGCTTCATGCTGCTAAAAATGTTCCGATCTGCGAGCTCTTGCAGTGTAAGCAGGATTGTGCCGCAAACTATTGTAAACCAAACAACTGACAATGATAGATGTAAATCATTTCCCAACAAAATGTTATGCAGCACACATCAAAAAGAGAGAAAAATTACAAGACTTAATTATCTGCTTCACTAAGTCCATAGAGGTGAAAAGATCATGATGTCCTGCGCATGTTGTTGTGTCATTCATATAATTAATTGCATCACCTCTGTGGTTCCTTTAAAGCAAGATCATTTTTAATATCTGGCAGCAGAATTGGGTGAACATTTCCATAATCAAACCTAACTCTTTATTTGGTGGTTTACTGGTTTCTTAGATTACCCTTTGCATATTCAAACCGCCTGGCATTTTCAGTTGTGTACTTTTTTTATTTTCATATTTGCTGTTTAAAGTGGACCTTGCATTAAATGCAAGGTCTAAATATTACATCAGGCTTCTCACCCTAAAAGGTTAGTTCACCTTTCGAATAAAATTTAATACACAGTGAAGGGACTCCAGTAGATTAAGAAACATGGTGCAGCTTAAAGAAATGGGGCTTCTTTTAATAGTCCCACCTGTAGGCCATGTAAAGCATCTCCATCTCTGTATGATCGAAGTTAAAAAAAAAAACACACCTACAGGGAAAAGTTACAAAATATACCTGTGCTTCCATCCATCGCACCTGGTGATATCACCATTTTTCTGTTGAGATCCTAGGAATGCTGAGCATCCCAAATCCCGTGAAAAGACAAGACGAGATTTGGGATACTCATCTTTCCCAGGGTCTCGCCAGAACAATTATAATGTTACCTTTTCTTGTGTGAAAGGCAGGAGTAAGATACGCATATTTTTTTTCCTATAGGTGTGTTGTTTTTACAGCCATCATGCTGAGATTTTAGATTGAGAGAGGCATTTTATTGCAAGGTCTGCTTTAAAGTAAAACTGAACTATGGAAGCTATTCCCAGAAATGGCAGGCAGAGGGCAAATAACCAGCCAGCAGTATTACCTGTGGTCTCCAGTAGTTGATCTTTGCCCATTTCTGACTTACCATAACTTGTTCGGCACTGTGTCTCTATGTGGAGGTGGCCATCTTGGCAGAGACAGGGCTTTGCTTCCTCATGTCAAAGTCTTCAGCAATTAGAGCCGTGAGCAGCACAGTAGTGATATCAACAAATCTTATTTCAAATCTCATGAGACTAGCAGTCAAAGGCAGCAGTGCATTGGATCTCATACTATAGATATACAGATTAGGTACCGTCACATAGGAATTAAATACAAAAAGTATTTATTTTCAGAATATTGCTAAGGTACGGTTAACAGTTCTAGATTTTCCTATAACATAACGAATCCTCACTTTTTTACTAAAGGGCCATTTTAATAACTGCGATGGTTTTACACCTTCATAACCAATTTTTATATTTTAGAGGGGCTTCTGTCTTTGGAATTAACATTTCCTGACTCATGCAGCATACACATGGCTTAGGCTCCATCTGAGTATTCTGCTATATGTTTGGAGGTGTCAAGAGAAAGGATCAAAGCACCCAGAGCAAGAACCACTTTAAGAAATGAGCACTGCAAACAGCAGAGATATTTAAGTTCACGTTCCAGATATTGTTAATTTGGGTCAAGCTCCTTCCCACCAACAGCATCGACCATTGAGTGATTGTTTCTATCTCTGTCCAAATAAGACAATTCTTGGGAAAACATTTTGTGACCATTTCTTCATGGAAGCAGCAAAGGAAAAGAGTTGGTCATGGGGAGGTATTTACCCCGGTCAAACAGGGGATGCAAGGTTTTACACTTAAAGGAGAACTAAGAGGTGAGTGATTTAACTCATCCTTATAGTTATAGCTGACATGTGACATTGAAACTATCTTACGTCTGCTCTAGCGATCACGAAGTGAGCGAACACATACCGTCGCTCGCTCACTTCCCGATCATCTTCCTGCAGAGAGCGGTGACTGTAAGTCACCGCTCCCCGCAGGGATTCCCCCCCTCCTCTCTTTGAACCTCCAGCGCTGACTGGAGGAATGAATGGGGACAGGGTGGGCACAGTTGACTCTGCCTCTAGATCCACCCAGCTGTCAATCAGCCAACTGGGTGGATCTCAACAGTATTGTTGAGATCTGTCCCAGCTGCGACACTCTCAGTATATAGGTAAAGAGAAGTCACTAGCACTCCAGCGTAAATACAAGTCAATATTTATTGACTACAAAGTGTCACATAATCACAGGCGACATTTCGGAACCGCATGGTTCCTCCCTCAGGCAAAACAGGATTAATTTTGCGGAGGCATCCACTGTCATTGTGCGATAGGCTTCTACATGTTTTGAATTGCTCTCAGCATATAGCTAGCTATAGCTTACTGAGCTTTGGGTCACGGAAGGAGGGTAGTATATGTCCTCCCCTGACGCTAAAGAGAACTATGGGATAAAAAGGTTACCCCATAGTTCTCTTTTAATGTTTAGGCAGTTTTAGGAGTAGAACGCCTTTGAGAAGGCATTTGAGATTTGACATTGCTCTAATGCAACCATATGTAAAACTATGGGGCATGACATCTAGTGGGAGGGGGGAGAGAAGGCACTAGAAAACAATGCAAATAATACAAGCACCTTGAAAATGTAATCACTTTTTATATGAAGAAGATTAGGCAGACTATCCTGGAAAAACAGGCTAAGGCAGACAGAAGAACACCATGTACATCAAATTCAACAAGCTATGTCCTCTAAATGAGGATAAAACAAAGATGATAGACACTTCTCCGCTTGAGGATGCCACGTTATTGCTATTAGCCAAGCATGTAACATTACCACCTGAAGATTCTGCTTCTTGTAATGACATGCTCTCAGGCAGATTGATACAGTGTATAAGAAAGTCTGTCTGACAGCCGGTAGAGTATGTTGCCCAACTGTTGTGCTTACATTTAAAACAAAGCTGTTACAGTGTGGACAGAAGGTGGTGGATATAGAATGCTGCATATCTGACCTGGTTTCCAATCAGTGGTGATGTAAAAATCTCTTGAGAGTCCTCCATTTAGAAAGAAGTTAGACACAGCCATAAGTAATGCAACAAGAGATGTATCAACTATGTTGCTGTAAGGTGGACATCTTCGTAGAGAAAATGTTTACAATAAAAATGTCATGCCAAAGGCAGAGCATGGAGCCAAGATGTCTAACCTGGAAATGTGTCCTGTAGAAGTTGAAAAACACACAATACACCCTCAGCAGGGTGCTTCATCCAAGTAGGAGGCCTTGAAACCACTGTAAGTGTGCGCCTATCCAAATGGGGGGGGCCAGGTTGTGGCTTTGCCAATTTCAAGGGAACACACTTGGTAAAAGTGCCAGTGTTCCATCAAAAGCTTCCAGTTCCTGAAAAGCAGTGATTGGA